ACCCTTAACCATAATCTTATGTTATATTTTCCACAAGCACGTGGATTGTACATAACTTCTAAGGGGTGAAAATGATTTTCATCTCATATTTTAAGGAAATCTCTCTTTTTATTATTGATTTCCATAAAAATGAAAAGATAAAAAAAGTAGAGAAATAAATTAAATAAAATATTAATAAAAGAAGAACTAAGTATCTATAACAACATAAAAATTGTTCTGATTGAATGAATATATTAATAGAATAAGAAGATACTTTAAGAAAAATAAACACAATTAAATAAGAAGAAAATATGACTCAATAACAACAAGGTCAAATTGTAAAAATTTAATACTCATTATGTATTTATAAATGTTTAATTAACACAAGAAGCGAGTTAATAAAGAATGATTTAAAATTATCATTTTAGATTTGATGTATCATTTCTTTTTATGAGTTGAGCACATTATTTCCTTTTATAGTATTTTCAGATAGTTCTATTAATTGATCGTCTTTTACATTAATTTATTAATTAATCATTTTTGACATTTAATTAACCCTTCAAATATACATTAGTGAATACCCACATTTCTATCATTTTACCTTGTTGTTGTCAAAGCCTTTTCCTTTTAATATCAGTTGTATTAACGTGGCTATATTTATCAAATTCTAACACATTTTTATTATTTAAAATTACATCGATATTTATTTTTTTTATCAGTATTTTAGTTAATTTAGTTTTCTCCCATTTTCTATGTTCATTTTTCATTTTTTATGGCAACTAAAGGTAAAAAAGAGATCTCGTTCAAAAATGAGATTAAAATATACTTTTACCTTCTCAAAGTCAAGTGCATTGCACATGTTAACCGAAAAAATAAATGAGATTTATGGTGCATTTGTTTCACAAAAAACTTAAGATTTGAAAAATATTTTCCAAAAAATGATCGGTTACATCACTTAAAAAAATTAATTAACGAAAAATGTTATCATCATCAATAACAATATATACCTAACAATTTACATAGGTGATGAAAATATTTTTTATTTATTTATTTTTGTAAATGACACAACCGATTATTTTCCGGAAAATGCTTTCTTAATCTTAATTTTTCCGTGAAACCAACGCACTCTTAAAGACCGCAACAAATAACAATCTATAAAGTATTTTGTAACAATCGAAAATCCGGAGGCAAATGTGTGTTACCCCAAAAACTCATTGAGTTTTTTTGTGCAATTTAAAAGAAAAGAAAGAAAGAAAAGAGGCAGGAATGGGCAGAAAGAAGGTTCATTGAACGGTCGTGAAGCAACAGACAGAGAGGACAGAGGATGTTGGTGTTGCTTGCTTCTCCAACTACAACCAGAGAGTGTCGTGCTTTTGGGGACGATGATGGTGGTCATAATTGCACAGTCACGTCCCTTCAGAAGCTAATTAGTGACCTAGATATGTCACTGACCCCCTTCTTTAATTAATGATTAATTAATTGATTAATTAAATACCCGGCTTCTTAGTAAAATATGCGGAAAATCCTTCGGCACACTTGCTCAAGTCACTTTATTTTATGTTGGCTTGTATAGTTTTTAGGGGTGACCTAATTTATTGGTTGGGGGTTCCCGTAAAATGACGGAGTCCGAGAGGCTTATGCGAGTAGGCTCGTGTCCAAGAAGAGAATTGTTCGCTAGGGCAGCCCAAATCGAGCTTCTAATCTCATATCGGTGGCCCTAGAAGATTGAGCCATGTAAGCATTTAACTCATAGGGGGTCATGCCACGACGTGTTTAATCTTAATTGGATTGCTACCGTTAATTGCATGGGTTATGTCATGATTAAGGATTTGAAGATGTTGACTTTTTAATAAGGCTTTTATGCTGAATTTGAATGTTTAAAGATGTAAATTCATTTCTTTTCAACTTTCATTTATTCTATTACCTCTCTTCCTCTCTTGTCAACAAGCCCATTTTTCTTAATTATGAAAGAACGTGCGTGCCGGAACTGCTGAATTTGAAATGTTAATTGGTGATGAACGATAATATTTACTCCATCTTCCATGTAGCCAACTGCAACATCTCTTCCATCTTGATTGAGTATCTAATTTTAATTGAGCAGGTAATAACATGATTGAAAGATAAAAAGTATCATGTTGGATTTTGGACACGTACATGATTTCATCTCGTCAGAATCTGAGCCATTGTGCAAGTAGATAAGTTTCGCGCAACTTTAAACTAGTACGACACGTTTTAAAAAAATCTCAAGGATGCATAGATGAGCTGTGATCGGAACGACAGTATACACGGGCGGGTGGCCTAAGAGGGAAAACCTTTAGTGGTATTAGAGCCATGACAGGATATTCTGCTTTAAATATGCCTCTGATACCATATTGCCTCGATATAAATTGTTCTGCTGATCAATAAGTTTCGAGTAACCTTGAACTAGCACGACTTGTTTTGCAAGTTATACGGTGCGCCAACACAAGAGCATGCAATCTAACATCAAGTTCACTGGGTCGAAGCCCAAGTTGATATTAAGAACTCGGTCGAGAGCGTCCGTAGTGCTATAATCCAAGAGTTTATTGCAACAAGAACCGCTTTGCCGTGCTCATCTCTTCACATCCCCTTGTTTGCGACTTTTTCTTTATTGCCAATTTTTCAAAGTTTCACAATGAAGTATTCCATATTTCTTTAAACCAATAAGTCAATAAATATTGAAACGTAAAATTATATACTAATTTTCACGATTTTTTGAAGGGGAAAATTGTCCAAAAAGTTATAAACCTATTGCACTTTTGCCAATTCGATCCTAAACCTTTCAATTTTGCTAATTAAGTCTTAAACCTTTTCATTTTTTACAAATTGAGTCTTAAACTTTTTTACTTCTTGCCAATTGAGTCCATCCAGTTTGGCTAGAAATTGCTTACGTAGATGCCAGCCGGTCTATATGGCACTGACATTGACAATTTTTAATAATATTTAATATTTTTCGATTTTTTGATTTTTCTTTTTCTTTTAAATTCTTTTTTTCCTCTCCTTCTTCCTCCTCTAACCGATCGCTGAGCCTCGGCAACTGTCGACCATTGGTGAGGCTTGACTTCGCTATGGCTGGGCGAGATCGAGCCTCGCCATTGCTGGGAGAGGGCAAGCCTTGCCATGGGCTGGTGAGGTCAAGCCTTGTAGGCCCTCGCCTCTGGCGGATGCCAAGGCTCGACAACCGACTGGAGGAGGAAAAAAAAGCAGAAAAAGGAAAATTAATAGAAAAGAAAAAGAAAAAATTTGAAAAATATTAAAATAATATTAAAATTATCTACGTCAATGCCATGTGGCCGCCCGGCATCCACATCAACAATTTCCGACAAAATTGGCTGGATGGACTTAATTGGCAAGAAGTGAAAAGTTTAGGACTCAATTAGCAAAATTAAAATATTTATGACTGAATTAGCAAAAATACAATAGATTTATGATTTTTTGGATAATTTTTCCTTTTCTTAAGCTTGAAAGATCATAGATTTTTACTATTTTGCAATTTTTTTTAAATATCATAAGTGGAAGATAAACTAAAAAATGAGTTGCTCCACCCGAAAACCCTAAACTGAACTTGAAAACAAGTGAAGAGCGAAGCAAACCCCCTCTCTCTCTCTCACCCAAAAGCATAGATTTTTACATGTTTAGACCATCGCCCATTCTTTGCTCTTAGGTGAAGTGATGCATCACCAAATCCCATTTCTTTGCTCGAAGAAGAAGTGGCCCCATCCTTCGTAGGAGGGTTAACGATCGGATATCCGCCAATGATCACGTCCGGTGCGGTTCCAATCACCACCGCATCGCGGGTCTCGCCCCTCTAGTACATTCTATACGAGAAGCTCGGGACTCCATTTGCTCCCCTTTCGGATTCACCCGGTAGCTCACGAACCTGACCACTCCACCAGATCACTGAGCGACATGCGGACCTTGTCGATGTGCTTTTTGCCAAACATCACACCCTTGTGGAACAGATCGACGCACAAGAAGGTGTGGTCGCAGTCTAGGAGGGAGATGTCCCCAGGTCGAATCACATCTCATGCTTCCACTCGAAGTCGCCGTTGCATTCCTTGATGATCAAAGTCCATTACTAATGGTTCCGTCCGAGCTTCTTGCTGGGCTCATCACTGAAGATGGAGGCTTGTGCGTATATAGGCAGTGTCGGAGATGCTGGAGATAGGTGGTGGAGGCAGCGGCGACACTCATCAGTTGGGATCAAAGAGGAGCTCACCAAGGACGGAATCCGGCGATGTCACCATCGGTGGAGAAGAGAGCAACAAGCGAGAAAGAAAGGAGCGAGAGAGCTTCAAGAGAGACTGTAGGTGGGGTTAAGCTTTAGATCCATTAAAAACCCACATTTTATTGGACTTTACTACTCAAACCCATATAGCAAAATTTAGCTAATTTATATATGACCCAACGAATCAAATATGGGTTAATAAATGGGTCTTCAACCCATTTTAACACCTCTGGACAAAATCCAACAATTTTCGTATTTGAGCACTTAGCTAATCAAGTTAAACAACTAGGTGTGCGGCAAAGGTCGATGCTAAAATTGTCGACAAAGCACCTCTAACGCCGTACTCTACCCGTCATCTTATGTCAATGCTCGAGGTTCACCATCCAAGGTTTCTCGATGAACCTTGAGACTCGTGCTAGTGAAGCCTGGTATTATATCAAGAAGCTGGTGTCACTGCTACAGGGTCTGCACGAGTTCACATTGGGATGAAGATGCCGAACTACTACCGAGTACACAATCTACGGGTTCTACTTTAATCCAAACTAACGAACTTGCATATCAACGTATCATCAGAGGTATCAAATAAGTGAAAATGACCATGCAGATTCTAAATTTACCACACAAAAACTAGCATTGGAACACGGATATATTTTTGACAAATTACAGCAGCAAAATCAAGCCAGATAGCATGCCAAGCAATTTGTCTTAACCTATCTAACCGACTGCGTTTGTCTTCAGAGATGCAATCACCCATCATAAATTTCACAGCACCGTGTTATTTCAAATCCACGAGGCACTCTGCCCCGCGTCATGCGCAAGATTTCGCATTCCAATGAATAAGTTTATGGTTCCCATAAATTAGAAGACACGTTTAGAGAAATCCCTACAAAACTACTGAGAGTCATCAAAATTCAGCTCCATCCCACAAGTGGACGGATTCACGAGATCTCTACAGGACCAGAACAGATCGGCTAATTGCAGCATCATGAGTTTTAAGGGCTAAGAGCTAACTTTTTTCTCCCTTTGTCCTCACTCATTCAGTTCACTTGCTGTTGGTGACTGCCGTATACTGGGTAAGCTGCATATGCCGTGGCAGCGGCATACATACTCGGGTCGTAATGTGGTGGCATACCGTATCCATAACCATCATAAACTTGTCCACCATAGTAGACCGGTCCCCATTGATTTCCAAAATCTGCTCTAAACTGCAAAAATAAACAAAAGAAAGGAGTGGACAAGAGCCTCGCAAAGGGAAGAACATTTTGAACTCGTCTCCCAGAGCATACAAAGTTCTGCTTGGGTATGCTTTCTATGGCTTTCTGCAATTTCGTCTGTGACTTCTCTTTGGCTGTTGTGCTCAAAAACAATTTAGGAGAAACATCTCTTTCAAGAAATGCCAAAATATAACATTGCTCATTCTTTTATCTAGTCTAGCTTGGATTTTGTCAAATTCTAAAAAACGCAAAGCAAGACCAACTACTATATCATAGTTGTCATTTTAATATCCAAAAATGAAAATATTTAAATCACTATAACAAGTGAGAACTAAGTTTGCACTACAACCTGCCAAATACAGCAGTTCTAGCATGTTCTTGAAGAAATATGCTTTTGATAAGAACACTAAAGATGATCGCTAAATTTCCAACCACATCTGAGATATAGAATTAGACAATAGAGTGAAGAAAGAAGGGGGGAGAAATAAGAGGAATGCACGGGAAAGAGGTCTGACCTGCTTGTTGGCTGGATTTCGACCCCATGAAAGACGCACCGTTTGCTTACCTATCACCGTCCCGTTCAGTTTCTGCAATGCCTCCTCAGCATTGCTTCTGTCAGATCATGAAACAGGCAGCATTATCAGAAAAGACCGACAGAAGACACAAGCCATATGAGATAATAGAAATGCCAAAGAGGCCAAAAGCAGTTGGAACATTTACCTGTTGGCAAATTGTACAAACCCACAGCCTTTCCCAGATGGTATTTTAACAGAAACTATCTCACCATACTGAGAAAACTGTTGCCTGAGGTCTTCATCATTAACACTAGGATCAAGGCCTCCAACAAATATCTATGATGAAATGAAAATTAACCAGACAAGAATAAGGACAGCACAAAAGACAAGAAGAAATGGTAAGGCTGCCAATGTCTAAACAAACACGAAGTAGGAATTCTCACTGTTGTGTTTGCAGAGTCCCCATCAGACTGAAAGCTCTGGGATGAGGCACCATTTGACGAATATCCACCTATGAAACCAAAAACCAATAGGAAGATGAATTTATGTGTTGCAATGTTCAGATCATCATATAGGTAAATGCCGTTAGATGCACCTACAAATTCATTATGGAACATTGCTCTTTCTCTTGTATCACCAAAAAAAAGAAGCATCATCTATTTGATATCTTACGGAAAAAAAAAGCAACCTATTTGATTGCTCACTTTTCACCTTTCATCAATTCAATTCAATGTCAATGATGAAGGGACAAAAAAGTTCTTCAGAAGCCTCCTTAAGACTCACAAGTCTGACATGACAAATGACAGCCAAAGGGGCTTAATTTAGGCTTTGCACCTCCAAGTGCCCAATTATAACTCGCAGCATCATCAAACCACTCAAATAGGAATCAGGTGCATACTGTTACCATCAAGTATGAAATTTCTGCACTATTATCACATCAAGTACCTTGTGAAGATCCACAACAGGTGAGATACGTCCTAACCCCGTCACAACCTTTTTTTTATAACAAAATAAAAAAGTACCTTGTGAAGAATACTGCGATTGATACCCTGATGACTTTCTGGGTGTTGCAGCACCAATGCGCATAGGCCTGCTAGAACAATATACACCATTCATTTCAGACATGGCCTGCGACCTTTCACTTTCATCCCCAAACCTCACAAATCCATAGCCTTTTGAACGGCCAGTGTTGACATCAAAAACAACTTTGGCAGCTTTAACAGACGGGTATTTATTAGCAAAAGTCTCATGCAATAAGCTATCAGTAACATCTGCAGCTAAGTCTCCTACAAAAATAGACAGATCAGGAGCATTTTCTGAACGCTTGTCACCCGTGCTAAATGTTGCCCAATTCAGACGGAACGGCTGTTCAGTATTAGGCATCGCGATTCCCGAATAGTTTTGTAGAACTTTCTCAGCTGTACCATGTGAAAAGAATTCAACAAATCCATATCCTTCAGACAAACCTGTCTGCTTATTGCGAATAACTTTGATAGAAGCAATCTGCATTACGTAAAAGACCATGTTAATGAGCAATAGTGGGAATGTCAGAAACACAACACAATCAAAGAATCTATTGTCTGAATTTGGTAAGACAACAATAGTTCGGCAATTCGAAAGCAACAGCAATGCTGAACTTATGAGAAGACACACCACAAACTAGTTTGCAATTATACTGAACTCCTCCGAGCCAACAGTTTAAAGCATTTCTTTTCCCAATATGCCCATTTCTAATGGCAGGAGGGAAAACGAAAATGCATCAACCGCAATCCCATGAAATTTCATTTCTCCGGTACTCATTTTTATTTCTTATTTTCTCTATGTTGCAGCCAGCTTACTGCGAAAACTATCAGTTATGTTCTTATGGTTGTTCATCTTCACCGAGCAGAGAAACTGCAGCATTTGGATTGATACATTTTTGCTAAGAGAATCAAATATTTCCGGCAACAATTACAAACTTATTTATGCTATTTACCATTATACCCATGAACAAATTGCACAGCATCAGCAAGTTCCAGGGTATTTGGCCGACAGTTAGCAAGACAATATAAGAGATTTCAAGATGAGTAATGAGAAAAATCCAAGCTCAGCTTTTGTGTACAGAAAAGCAATGTGGAAAGCAAGCAAACGGCATCTAAACCGAACAGGGACACCTAGCTAGGCCTTTCTAAACGATTCACAAGCTACATTGCATCAAAAAAGCCAATCCCCAATACAAACACAAATCCTTACTGTCTGACACATTTCCATATGTACTTTTTTCTACTCATTTCGGGCAATTTCGGAACCTGCTCCTTAAGAGGCAATATAGGTTGTCACCATTTGCCTGCGAGCCAGTGCAGAACTTGCCTATTTGAGATCTACTTCACATCCAATTTCCAAACATGTGATAAGGATATCCACCAGTTTCAGCTAAATCCTAAGATCTTACTAGAAGTGACCTACTTCCTAATACACAGCAACATATAGAAACAAAAGACGAACACAAAACTATCACGCCCAATATAGCTTCGACAAAACACAAATCTTGACCCCTCCAACGCCAAAAAAAGAAAGGAAAAGAAAAGAAAGTTACAATCTTCACAGCCATTACAAACACAAACAGAACAAAAAGAAAGGCAAAACGAGCCTCCAACTTCTCGTTACCTCGCCAGTGGAAGCGAAGCAGCTGTGGAGATAACTCTCATCCATCCAGTGGTGCAAATCGCCGACCCAGACCGTCCTGTTCTCGCCGTTCTGCTGCTGCGGCTGGTGGTGCACGCGCTGGTGCGGCGGCGCGTACTGGTGGTACGCCATGTAGTGCGCCGCCGCCGCGTAATGCTGGTGGTGCGGCGGCGGCGGCGGCGGCGGCATCATCTGCGGGTGCTGCATTAGCATCGCCGCCGACGGCGGGTACTGCATCGCCACCCACGGCTGCTGCTGCTGCTGCTGCTGCTGCGGCGCCGGGTTGCTGCCGCCGCCGCCGCCGCCCCCCTTCGCCGCCTGATGCCGCTGCCCCCCGCCGCCGCCGCCCTGCTCCGCCGCCGGCTGCGCCTGCCTCGAATCCTCGCTGGACTGCATCCTCAAAAAATCTCGAACCGCTACCACCGCTACCACCCCTCCCCGCTCCTCCGAATGAACCAATCAAAGAATGCCGAACCAACGCCGGAAAACGAAACGAAAACCCGCACGTGGGTGGGCTCCCAAGGCGCCACGCGCGAGGTCGGAGCTCACGAATCTGAGACGCCCAGATAGAGAGAGAGAGAGAGAGAGATAGAGAGAGAGAGAGAGAAAGACGAAGAGATAGAGAGAGAAAGAAGAGAGAGAAGAAGAGAAGGTGGGTGATTAGGGTAAGCACCTTGAAGTGAGGAGGAGCGGCAGGCGATGGTGGTGGTGGGAGGGGATAGAGATAGATGCAACAAACGAAGGGGGCCTTCGGCGGACGCGGTTGCTGCTGGGGGCCGTTGGATCGCGGGGGCTGGAGGGTCGACGTGGGCCGTCGGATCCGGGGGATCTGCATGCGTTCGGTTTCGCTTCGGGATCCGCCGCCAGATTAGATTTCGCCCTTCCCTTCCGCTTCCCCCATTTTTTCTCTTTTTTTCCTCTCTTTTGTTTTTTTCGTCCTCCGATTCCCTGCATTTTCCATTTCCTGCCACATCTGACGTTTCCCCAATTTCACCCCCCATTAAATAAATTAAATAAATAAATAAATAATTTTTTTTTTTTTGATGATGTCTCACGTCATGCGCGAAGTGCTGTTCCTCGTTTTCGGTACACTGCGAGACTGTCTGTGTTTTTCTGCAGAGGGAAGTGATGTCAATTTGCCTTTCGGTTGTTTTTTCGCAGCAAAAAGCTCTGACTAGCAGTATAATCCGACGCCCGTTGTTGAATTGATGGGCTTCGACGTGGGTGGATCGAGCGGTGTTTTGTTGTGTTGTTAATCAATGATGATCTCTCTATAGTTTTGAGGGATGATATGCTAATCTGGTTTGGCTTAATTGAGTAGTTAATGATGATGGTGTATTAGCTACTAACCCACCCCATTTAGGAGAAACATTGATCGTGTAAAAACCTGCCCAATTGACTCTTTTTTTTTTTTTTGGGTGGTTGAATAGGTCAAACAATAGATGGGTCTTAAGTAATTTCTTAATCGTGCATGGAAAAATGAATTTCTTTTTTGGGGGGGGGGGGGGGAATGCGTAATTTTTTAATTTGGTACAACCATATTTTCACCATTTAGTAATTGAAGTTTTTTGCTGAGGAAAATGCCGTAAATTTGCATTTCTTTTTTTTTTTTTTCGCAAGATCTAGAGTAGCAAAAGCTTTGATTAACGGTATAATTCGAGGCCCGTTGTTGAATTAATGGCTTCAACATTGATGGATCGAGCGTGTTTTGATGCGTTAATCAATGATGATCTCCATAATTTTGGGGGGATGATATGCTAAGCCGGTTTAGCTTAATTATGTAGTTAATGATGATGGTGTATTAAGTATTAACCCCATTTAGAAGAAACATTGATTGTGCAAAAACCTGGCCATTGACTCTTTCTTTCTTTCTTTTTTGGGTTGAATAGGTCACACGTTTGATGGGTCGTGAGTAATTTGTTAATCGCATATGGAAAAATGAAAAACAGTTTTTTGGGGGAAATGGGTAGTTTTCTTCTTTCTTTTTTAATTTGGCATGACCATATTTTCATTATCTAGCAATTGGAGGTTTCTAGGGTTGAAATAGATTAGCAGCTTCATCAAAAAAGTCAAGGGGTGCACGTGGCATCGCGCGATTGGTTGGCCGGGGGTGGTCGGCCCGTCCGTACAGGAGCAAGTTCTCAATCGATTTAGGCCCAATCCAAAAGCCCAGATAGAGTGAGATTTGTGGGCTTAGAAAATTGCGAATTTGGCAGCTGCGTTAGATGGGCCCATCTGGGGTAGTCGCGGCTGAAGTGCGGATGCGAAATCTTGTACATGTGCTGCGGCACCACTTTTCATAACTGAAGTTGCTAGGGAAAGTTGGACCGAACTCCTCGTTCGTAGTTTAAAGAAATCTATTGAATTGCCTCGAGCTTAATGTGTCCCGATTCGGTATCCAAACTTTCACGGGACCGTCAATAGCTGTCCAAATTTTACTCCCTCGCATTTGATTTTGTATATAATCCTTTGTAAGCTCATCTTATTGATACATTAGAGCCACACACCTAATGTTCCGTGGTTATATTCATATCTAGTTTTGTTAGTGTAGGCATGCTCTCGGAATCTAGGGAAATTTTTATCCACTCCGCGCCACCATTGCGCCGCCCCCTCCTCCGGAAGAAGTTGAATGTCACCGTGGTCCCTTTGCCTCGTCCCCGTCTCCATGTCCATGCGAACTCCACCGTTGAACTCCCTCTTGTTGGAGAAAGGGTTTGATTTGATTATGATACTGATTTCGTAGATTATGGACTGATTGATTCGATTAATCCGTAATATTGGATATCTAGAGAGTAAATTAGGAAATCGTTATCTTGTATATATTTTTCCTATTTTTTTTCCTTGTACTATAGATTTGCCTATATGCATGTACAACAAATATAGAAATACAATAACAATTCCTCTAATATTCTTCTTCAATTTCTGTCAAGGTTAATTCCAAAAAAAAGAGCATCAACTTTACCTTGAATGACAATTCTGGTCCGAACTCTTTTTGTCTCAATAAAAAAGCGCCAACTTTTACTCGGTCCCAAATCTGGCCCCTGTGATGTAAAATTTTCAAATTGTTCGGGCTAGATTTTGGATTTAAGTAAAAGTTGGTGATTTTTTATGAAACAAAAAAAAGTTTGAGCCATAATTATCACTTTTGGTACAGCTGATGTTTTTTATTTTTTGGAATTAGGCCATTTCTGTCATAGGTTATGAAGGCTGAACTAAATGCCCTCATAGAGAATCATATTTGGGACATTGTTTCCTTACCTTTACATCGAAAGCCAATTGGCTGCAAATAGGTATACAAAATCAAGTGTAAGGCAGACGGCTCCGTTGAACGCTACAAGGCTCGATTAGTTGCTAAGGGATTCATGCAATTGGAAGGCTTTGACTATCATGAGACTTTTTTCCCTAGTCGCTAAGGAGGTAACTATCCGTTCCTTTTAATTCATTGCCGCATGTCGCAATTGGTAAGTACATCAAATGAACGTCCACAATGCTTTTCTTCAGAGCGATCTAGACGAAGAAATCTACATGAAGCTTTCACAGGGTTTACGAAGACAGGGGAGCCTCGGGTATGTCATCTCCGTAAATCCTCTTATGGGCTTAAGCAGGCTTCTCAATAATGATATGCCAAATTTACTACTGAACTCATGAATGCAGGTTTTTAGCACTCTAAACATGACTATGCCCTATTTATATGGATTAAAGGTGCTTCATCAATCTATTTATTGATATATGTTGATGATATATTTATCATGAGAAATGATGACTCCACTGTCAGAGAATTTAAAGAATATTTGCACTCTACTTTCCACATCAAAGAATTGGGAGCTCCCAAATATTTTCTTGGTATTGAGATAGCTTGATCAGACAAGGGAATCTATCTCAGCCAACGGAAATTCGTTTTGGAAATTGTTTCAGAAGTAGGACTGTTATGATGCAAGCCAGCTATTATACCGATTGAACAAAATGCCAAATTGACGACGCATGAATATGATGTAGGTTCATCATCATCTAATGAAGATCCATTGCTTAAAGATCCATCAGGAAATCGACGGCTTGTTAGAAAGTTGACCTATCTCACCATGACCAGGCTTGATATATGTTATGCAGTGTAGATACTCAGTCAATTCATGCGTAGTCTGAAATAGTCCCATATGAATGCAATGTTTTAGGTTATAAAGTATTTAAACGGATGCCTAGAACTTGGTATACTTTTATCTCGTGATTGCAACGTGAAGATGACAGCCTATTGCGACACAAATTACGCTACTTGCTCAATGACCCGAAGACCTACAATTGGTTTTTGCATTAAATTGGGAAAATGTTTGATTTCATGGAAGACAAAGAAACAGTCAACTGTCTCATTATTGTCAGCTGAGTCAGAATATCGAGCTAAGGCAAATAATATTTGTGAAATAGTTTGGATATGGGGTGTACTTTTGGACCTTGGTGTACAAGTCGATGGACCAAGCTGATTGTTTTGTTATAATGATGCTACAATCAAACTAGTGGCAAATCTAGTCTTTCATTAAAGAACAAAGCATATAGACGTTGACTGACATTTTACTCGAGAAAAAAATAATTCAAGAAGGGATAGTTACAACAAGAGGGATCGGAACTATGGAACAACCTGTATTGAGCTTTTTGACCAAACAATTGTGTCAAATACAACATACATATCTATTGAGCAAGCTAGGCGTCTTTGACATATTCAAGCCGCCAGCTTGAGGCGATTGTTGGAGAAAGAATTGATTCTAATTCTGATATTGATTCCATAGATTACAGGCTAATTGATTCAATCAATTTGTAAGATTAAATAGCTAGACAGTAAAATAGGAAACGTTACCTTGTATATTTTTTTCCTTTTTTTTTCTTGTACTATAAATATGCCTATATACATGTACAACAATTTATAGAAACACGATTACAATTCCTCCAATATTCTTCTTCAATTTCTGTCAACTCTCTCTGCTCATTTGTCCTCCATCTCCACGACTCCTCCCTTGTCAATCCGCTATCAACTAAGACAGGAGGCGACACAAACAAGCTAAGGCCGAGCTTGGCTCTGAGCCTTAGAAATTGACTTAGGAGGACCTCGACTGAGCCTTAGATCTAAGCTCACCCTTGTGTTAGGTAAAATCGACCCCGCTCCGAGGTCAAGCGGGGTCCGACAGTGAAGGGATTGGAGTTTAGAAGGTACCACAAGTGAGACAAGATGAGAATTATTTAAAAAGTCCTAAACCTATAGCAATTGTGTCAATTTGGTCCTAGACCTTTTGCATTTGTGCCAATTTAGTCCATCCGGCCAATTTTAGTCAGAAATTGCTAACATGGACGCCAGCCATCCTATGTAGTGTGGCCGGCGCTGATGTGAACAATTTTATATTATATTGCACTGATTTTTCGAATTATTTATTTATTTTTTCTTTTCTTTTTTTTTTCTTCCTTTTTTTCCTCTAGTTGGTCGTCGAACCTCGTCGATCGGCCTTGCCCTTGCTAACCCTCGCCCAATAGCGTTGAGGTTGAGCCTCGCCAAGGGCGAATGAGGCTCGCCATCGCCGGCCCTTGCCTTTGGTCAGTCGCTGAGGTCCGATGATCGACTAGA